TCCTTACTATCATCGATCGTTGTAATCATCACCATCATCATCACATCATACTCATCCATCGTCATCATCCTCATCTTCATCACGTCCTTATCAATCATCTATCGTCGTTATCATCATCCTCATAATCTTCATCCTCCTCATTCTTCATCATTTTCTTCATCATCATCCTCACCATCATATTCATCCACATCAATCATCCTCATCATCATCAATGGCATAGCCAGCTATTGGCACAGTTGGGACAGTCCCACACCATTTTTCCAATGGGTCCACAAAAAAAATGGTCCACATTTTAAAAAAGGGTCCAAATTATGTAATTTTATGCATAAAATGGATCCAGATACCTTATATTTAGTTAAATATGGGTAAAATTTAAGAAAATCGGTCCAGATATTTCATATTTTACCATAAAATGGGTCCAAATTGTTTGAATTTACACGTAAAGTGGGTCCGCTCTGATATTGTCCCACACCGTTTTAAAATCCAAGCCATGGCATTGATCCTCATCCATCATCGTCACCCTCATCACCATCCTCACCAATCATTGTTAACATCATCACCATCACCTTCATCCTACTAATCATCCTCATCCATCATCATCCTTATTCTCATCATCATCAACCTCATCCTCCTTATCATCATCACTCATTCATCATCGTAGTCCTCATTATCATCATCATCGTCCTTGTCCTCATTATCAACCACATATCATCATCCTTATTAATCATTATCAATCATCATCCTCATCATGAGGATGATAATTAAGAGGGTGAGGATGACAAGAATGAAGATGAGGATGAGGGGCAGACGGGATGTTTCTCATCATTCGTCATCATTAACCTCATCAACATCATTCTCATCAATCATCCTCATCATTATCACGATCACCCTCGTGAACGACCATTATAATCAATCATAATCATTATCATCCTTATTTTCATCATCATCAAACTCATCATCCTAATCCTTCTCCTCATTATCATCATTATCCTCACCATCCTTATCAGCATCATTTTTTTCCTCATCATCATCCATCATCAATCATCATCTACCTCATCATCTTCCTTCTCCTCATCAGCCGCATCATCCTCATCCTCCTCATAATCATTCTTATCTTAATCACCATAATCATAATCATCATTACCATCATCCTCATTATCATCATCATCATCATCGTCATCATTCCCATTATCATTTTCATCATTATCCTCTTCATCATCAGTCACTACCATCATCATGAAGATGATGAAGATGAGGATGACAAGAATGAAGATAAGGACAAGGGTGAGGATGAGAGGGATGATTCTCATCATTCATCATCATCATTCTCATCAATCATTTTCTATCGTTCTCATCACCATCATCACAGTCATTATCATCAACAACCATTATCATCAATCGTAATCACCATCATCTTCTTCCTCACCATCATCTTTCTTCTCATCA